ACCGTGGTAAAAAAATAATAACTACAACGGTGGTAGTAAGAGCAACAAGAAGCTTGACTCACAATCATAAGCGCAAACCACTTTTCCAGCCCAGATAAGTAGGGCAACAAAATAAATTACTATTATATAAATCTTGGCTTGGAAGTAACCAAAAGTTACTTCTGACAAAAGTTTAGACCCCGTTTATTTTGCTGATTTGAGTTTAGAATTCAAATTTTACTATAGTAAAAAGCTTTCACAAACAGTCACATCTAACTTTTTTGCTATAATAAAAAGCTCTCACATAAAGTCACATCTCAACTCGAATTAAAAACTCGAATCGGCGAACTAAACGGGCCCATAAAAATAGGCTCAACTCGTGTCAATTCACAGACAAATATGCCTCAAGCTTTTTTTTTTTTTTTTTGGCTTCACAAATGCACCTTAAATTTTTCTTTAGTTAAGAAGTTGGACTATGTCTTTTTATTTTTTTAATTCTTGCATTTGAGGATGTGTTTGTTGTCTATTTTGTAACTTTCATTACTAATTGGATGCCATTTTGAAGAATTAACACTTTTTAGTCCCACAATGCAAAAGTTAAAAGTTTGATAGAAAAGCCTATTGCGCATTAACACATTCACCATTTTTTTTTAATTTCCTATTCAAGTATAATGCAACATTTAAAATATTATAGCAAAAAGATTTGAACCAATTCAAACCTAGGAAACAAGTAACACCAAACATAACCTCTATTCAGTTTATTAAGTATATATATATCATTTATTTTATCGATTCGAGTTTAAAATTTAAATTTTTTTAAAGTAAAAAGTTGACATCTTTAACACCTGATTAATTTGCAAGGATAGCTGTGTCAGGCTGTTCAATGTTCATCTTTTGTGATAAGACCACAATCTGTTATGTTTCACGTTGGCATCTTTTGTTATTAAACACATGACAAAAAAGTCTTATAATAGATTGTGACATGCGTAGCAAATTGGAAGTGCAATTATGTTCTATCAAGGGACCACCTAGTTGGTGTCACATTAACTGGAAGCCAGTGACGGAAAGTAAACCGCATTTAATATTATATCTATTTTCCTATTAATTAATTGTTATATACAGAGATAGTTGGCTTAAATTATGTTGAAATTAATTTTTTATTCTATGGTGCTGGGAATAAACGTATCTTAAACCTCGTAAATAGACAACAATACTATAAGATTATTTAATTACTAAATTTATGTCACGATTCGAATTATAATTCATAATTTATTATAATATTTTTTTTATAAAAAATATACATAAATTAAAAATAATTTAAAATTATAATTCTTTTAAATTTATGAACTAAACGTCTACTTGTCTATCAAAACTGCAAACTTATTGATGACATTTCTCTCTCGTACGAACTAACTAAAGATGATTGATAAGATAAAAGAGGCTCCCCCAAGTCAGTTTTACAACTGTCCCCCAAAGAGTCAATAGACAACGTGTGTCCACTGACTGTTTTGCAGCTTCGGATCCGTTTCCTCCATTGACTCTTGACTCTCTTCAGCTTTACCCGACAACAGAACGGATAAACCAATAATCACACCAATACCACCTACCAACCTGGGAAAATAATTCCCATCAGATTTCTCAAATAAAAAGAAAAAACGAAATAAAAAGCAGTGCAACTACACAACGCTATCAGGCACTCATAGTTATCACTCACTAATAAAAGATATGTCTCAAAATATAAAACTCATAAATAGAATTTATCTTTTTTTAATAGTGGTGTTTAGTATTAGCGGTGTTCTGAGTATTTTTCTGCACAAATAGAAAGATAAGATAATTCATAACTACCCGGCAGTATAAATCTTCTCATGAAGGAAAATGGCGGCCAATATGGTCACAATAACTGTACATAAAGGATTGAACATTGCAGAGAAGAGAGGACCCCTTCGTGATATGCACCATGCTTAAAGAAAGAATGCTATCCCAGATCCTACTATTCCCTGCTCACATATAAACCAAATTCCAACCTCATTATTAGATTCACAATTTAGCATTGTTACGTAGAAATCGGCCATAGAGCACGAAATTTCTATCACTAAGGAACATTTAACCAAGTAATAGTTAATTATTAAGACCTACGAGGTATCTAGATGATAACTCCATGAAATGGTGTTATTTAGTCTCTTTTGTGGATTAAAAAGTATGCTTGTTGTTGAGAATTTATTTAGTTTTTAATATTTTTACTTTATTTTTATTTTATTTTATTTTATTTAGAATTAATTTTATTTTTAGTTTGTTTAAGGTATTTTTATTTTTATTTAGTTTCTTTTTAAAATAATTATTTTCCTCATTGTGCAATATAATTTTGTGTAACAGTGGGGTTTAAGTGAAAAGTTTAAAATGTAATCAGGTTAAAAGTACAAAGAAAAAGGAGCCAAATTTTCTGCTTCACGCTCCACCATTACTGCGTGCACCCTCGCTCTCACTCTCTCCGCTTCTGCCACATGGATCCCACTAGCTCCTTCACCACTCCTAACTCGCCACATGTCCGGTTGACATAAAAAAATCCTTATGCCTCTCTCTTGCTTCACGCACGCAAAGGAAGAGGAGGGATTAATATATCCCATTCTTTTTGGGCAGCCGCAAGAAAAGAAAAGGAAGCCATCTTGCTCCCTTCTTTCCAGCCCTCATACGAGCAGCCACAGAGAACAAGAGGGGAAGAGAGAAATGAAGAAAAAGAAAAAGAAAAATTATTTTTAGAGTTGTAGGATTTTATTTTTAATTTTAGATTTAGATGAGCTTCAAGAAGGAGGAAGATGAAGATTTTGAGAAGAGGTTTTGGAGCTTGTGACAACTCCTAAAATGGGTTTTTCATTCCTTTTCTTATCTCTTATTTTTGAAATTTATAAATGATGAAACTCTTGATGTTATTTAGTTAATTTTGTGAGCTAGGCTCCTAGTGGAACTAAGATTGTGATGTTTTAGTTTTTGCTTTTGGATTGTTTATGGTATTCTTGTGCTTGTTCACTCATGTATAATTACTTGCTTAATTTTTATTTTTGATGGAAATCAAGGTAGAACTAGACTTAGATTGATTTGGAAAAATTAATTTAGGTTGGACTTTACATGGATGATGCACGTTCAATATAGGAATATATTGATTTGTAGAACGTATAAGAATATATCGTTTACCTTGTATAACCTAATAAACCCGAACTTGAAATTAGAATTTCATGAACTAGATTCATATAGGAATATGATGAAATTGGTTTGAGGAATTATAGTCATAATTAATTCAAAAGAACTTTATGCACAAATTTGAGTTTGGTTAACTAGTACAGAATGTTGTAGCATTTCTTTAGCACAGCTTTAGCATTTTGCAATCAAGGAAAAATTAAGAAGTCCTAACTCGATTATTTGCAATTGCTTGCATTTATATTTTCTTTTAGTTATAAAAATATATAAAAACAATCCTAGAAGCTAATCAATATTGGTATTTAACGAAAGCTAAACACAATTCTCGTGGATCGATATCCGTACTCGTGTACATTTTATTATTTGTGCGATTCGTATACTTGCGAGTTTTCACGTAACACTAGACAGAATTTCATGCCTTAAAAAATAAATTTATTATCGAGATCATTGAAAATGTCTTTCTTAATGAATACTAGTAAAATGCCATGCTTCGACTTTGTAGCAGAAAATACTCTTTGCACAATCTAATTTCCAAGTCTCAAGGTCTCGCTCGACGAACAGTGTGATTGCTGCCGATTGAAATGTTGCCATGAAAGACATCCAAGCTGATAACGACAAATGGTCGGGATAGCTTGTTGACGCTGGAACCTTCATAAAAATAATGACATGAGAATTACTAATCACACAGCACTGTTCCAAGTATCTTGGCAATACTTCTCATGCTTCTAATTTTTACCTTCTCTAATCTAATCAGATCACGTAGAAAAGAGTTATTAGCGACGACATTTATCGCTGTTAAAATTACAATATTAGTGACGACATGTCGTCGTCAAAAAGAAAACAAGATTTTTGAATGATTTGTCGTCGCATTCACTATTTGTGACGACATGTCATTGCACAAAATTTCCCTATTTGTGACGACATATCGTCGCTAAAATTTGACAAATTATTAGCGACGACATGTCGTTGCTAATATCTGTTGGCACCAACAATTTTAGCACCAGTTTGTCCATTATTTGCGACGACATGTCATTGCAAATATTGATACTTACAGCTGGCAATGACATGGCCAAAAAGAGGCCGGAAATTTGTAACACCGCGAGAAATTAAATGAGATTAATTAAGGTAATTAAGATTTATTAGTGTGTCTGACCTGGTTTAATTAATTAATTATTATTGTTAGTTTTAAAGATGAAAAACAGAGGATTGAAGAATTGTTTGGTACTGAAGAAGGATACGGGTGTGCAGTAAAAAAAGGAATTCTTTAAACAAAAGTAAGAAAAATAAAGGAAGATATACGGGAATGCAAATTGGGAATACTCATCATTCATGATGCATCAAGCTTACATTATATAAAAAAAGAAAAACTGAACAACTAACATAGTGGCCGAGAATCAAGCCATAAATTGCAACACGTCTAGAACAAACTAACTACTTCCTAAAGACTAGGACCAACTCATTTAAACAAAACAAATAAAATGGAAGCATACCGGACACGTGGACATATTGAAGGAAACATAAAGAACACGTGGGCACATTTAAAGAAGCATAAAACAATTATCTAACACGTGGACAAGTTGCAGTCCTAAAAGTAGCTAACTAACACTCCTCCATGCATTAGGAGCTGCAAACTCCAAGTCTCTGCCTAAGAAGCTCGAACTTGTTTGCTGGCAAAGGCTTTGTAAAAATGTCTGCGAGCTGATTTTCAGATCTACAATAAATGAGGCTCACTTCTCCTTCCTTCTGCATTTCTCTTAAAAAGAAAAATTTGATCTTGAAATGTTTAGTTTTTCCATGAAAACTGGATTGTGGGAGATTGCAATTGCTGCCTAATTGTCCACAAATACCTCTATCTCATTCAGTTGCTTCAAGTGTAAATCACATAACAACTTCCTCAGCCACAATGCTTGATTCACTGCTGTTGTAGCAGCAACAAATTCGGCCTCTGTAGTAGACTGTGCTACAATATCTTGTTTCTTGGAACACCATGAGAAAACTCTTGATCCTAGACTGAAATAGTACTTAGATGTACTTTTCATGTCATCCACGGATCCACCCCAATCACTGTCAGAAAATCCCAACAACTTGAAGTTTTGACACTTCTTGAACTTTACACCAAAGTCAATAGTTCCTTTGATGTACCTATTAACTCTTTTTGTTGCTTTAAGATGCACTTCACTAGCACAATGCATGAAACGAGAGAGAATGCTTACAGCAAAAAGGATATCTGGCCTGGTTGCAGTTAGGTACATTAGACATCCAACCATGCTTCTGAAATAGCTTTCTTCAACTTTGTCAGTCCCATCCTCTTTGCTCAAGCTATCCTTTTGATTCATTGGAGTAGCCATTGCCTTGCAATCCTCCATATGAAACTTCTTGAGAATTTCCTTGGCATACTCTTTTTGACAGATGAAAACTTCATCTTCCAACTGCTTAATCTCCATTCCCAGAAAGTATGTCATTAGTCCAAGGTCTGTCATTTCAAAGATCTGCATCATTTCCCTTTTGAACTCTTCAACAAGCTTGCCATTGCCACCTGTGATTAAGAGATCATCAACATAAAGAGAGACTATAAGCGATCATCTCCTTTACGTTTCACATAAAGAGTAGCCTCTGACATGCTTTTTTCGAATCCTAGGCTTGACATATGCTTATCTATCTTGATATACCATGCTTTTTTCGAATCCTAGGCTTGACATATAGAGCATTCTTAGCAAGTAGACCTTCTCCTCTTCACCTTGTTCCACAAATCCCTCGGGCTGTTCAACATAGATCTCCTCCTGTAAAATACCATTCAAGAATGCAGATTTTACATCTAGTTGAAACACTTTCCACCCATTTTGGGCTGCTACAGCTAGCACCAGCCGAATAATGTCTAATCTAGCAACAGGGGCAAATGTATCCAAGTAATCAACTCCACAAACTTGAGCATAGCCCTTAACAACAAGCCTGACTTTGTGTTTGTTGATGGATCCATCTGCATTGAGCTTGGTTCTAAACACCCATTTCACTCCAATAACTTTTCTATCCTTCAGTCTATCAACTAGCTCCCAAGTCTTGTTCTTTTTTATCATTGACAACTCCTCCTCCATTGCCTTCTTCCATTTTTGGTCTTTAATGGCTTCTTCGTAACCCGCAGGTTCACAAATGGCCACATTGCATCTCTGATAGATATCATAGAGCGGTCTTATTCCACGGATTGGTGGATCATCTTCCAATTCTTCTTGCCATTATTCTGATGCTTGCTCTTCTGTTGTTTGGAAGGAAAGACTTAATTTCTGCTTGCTCGTGGATGTCTCTTTTGTCTGTTCCCAGTTCCACTTCTCATCTTCATTGAAGAACACGTCTCTACTGACAATTATCTTCCCTGTTTGAGGTTGATACACCTTGTAGGCCTTAGAGGAAGAACTGTAACCGACGAAGATGCCTGGTTTTGACTTCTTGTCAAGTTTATCACGCTTGACATGTGGAACGTGAGAGAAACACATACAACCGAACACTCTAAGGAAATTGAGTGAAGGTTTATAGCCATACCATGCCTCGAATGGAGTTTTATCCTTCAATGCCTTGGTAGGCCATCTGTTCTGCAAGAAAACCCCAGTACTAGCCACCTCAGCCCAAAAATTCTTTGGCAACTCCTTGTCATGAAGCATACATCTGGTCATCTCCATTATGTATCTGTTTCTCCTTTCACTAACTCCATTTTGTTGTGGCGTGTAAGGAGCAGTAAGCTGGTGTTCTATGCCCGCTTCCTCGTAAAACAAATTAAATTCTTCTGAGGTGTATTCTTTTCCATTATCTGACCTTAGAGCTTGAATTTTGCAGCCACTTTGGGTTTCCACCATTTTCTTGAACTTCCAAAACACTCCAGCCACTTCTGACTTGAATTTTAGGGAAAAAATCCAGCAAAATCTTGTAAAATCATCAATGAAAGCAATGTAATACCGACTACCTGCTAATGATAGGGTTCTTTGAGGACCGGATACATCTGTGTGGACTAGCTGCAACTTGTGAGTGGCTCTCCAAGTTGACTGGGAATGCTCTTCGTTTTTGTTTACTGTATTGACAAGCATGACAATTCGGTAAGTGATCTCGAAAGGTTGGTAAGCTAACTTTGAGCTCCTTTTTCTCCATGAGCTGCATCCTTTGCAAGTGACAATGACCATGTAATGACCAAGAAAATCCCGGAAGTTAAATAATGTAATTTATGTATTTAGGTCAAGGATTTTTCCTGAAAATAATATATTATGTTATATTTTTATGACTGAAGGATTTACGGAATTAACAATTGTATTCCTAAATTCTGTAGCAGATTTCATGTTAAGTACATGTTTTATGATCAAGTAAATTTGATCGATTAAATTCTCGCCGTACTTTAAGGCGGAAGAATTTCCAATACAGATACAGTTTGAGAATCTTAATTTCAAGAATCTCCAAGCACAATACGAATTAGCATCCAGTATATATATACATGAGAAAATTACAGCCAGTATAATTTTGATCAGTTTTAAGGGGAAACTTGAGTGAGTGGCCAAAAGTACAAGGGGGTAGGTTATATTTTTCTCTTTCTCTCTCCACTTGGCCGGCCATGCATAGCGAAATTAGAGTAAAACTTGGTTAGTTGAGTGTGCTAGAGGATTTCATGATAAGGTGATGTGATAGTAGTAGTTGAAGGGAAAATCATGGCATATTTACTCATTCTTTTCTCCACCTAGAACCGGCCATGACTTAGGGAATTTGAACCAAAAATTTGGTTGATCTAATGAAGTGAATTGGGGTTAAATAAATGATCACCAACTTGTCTATAAAAGGAACCATCATAAGCTAGGCCTCATTTTTTACTCCTCTCATTTTCTCTCCACCCCAAAACCGGCCACACACATTACACCCATACTCTCTCAAAAATTTTCTCTCATTCTCCTAACCTTAAACCACTAGCAAGCAATAGAGAAAGAAGAAGGAGATCAAAGGATTCTAGGAGGAGTCTAGTCAAGCATTTCTCCAAGGGTATAAACTCTAAATCCTCTATTTCTCATGTGTTAGTAAAGTTTGAAATGTAGAAACATTCCTCTCAAATTTCCTTATACTCTTCTAGTTCCAAGCCATTAACAAATCTTAGAGGAGTTCAAGGGTTTTCAAGAGAGAGAGTTCTTCAAGGGTAAGTTCTCAAACTCCACTCCATTATTTTCTAGCCAACTTTAAGCTTGAATTTATGGATGTAATTTGTGATTCTTGAGGAGATGAGTTGTAATAAGGGTGTGTGAGTTTTATGTTGGTTTTGTGAGTTTTGAGGTTAGTTTGATTAGCAATATGCGGTATGTTTATACTTGGTTTAAGTTGCTTATTTTAGGTTGGAGGAAAAATTTTCCGGTTACTTTAAACGCGAAAATGAGGACCTAGAGCAAGATTTTTCAGTATTTTTAAGCTTGAACTTGTAGTTCTCGATGTTTTGAACATTTTTAGTGACTATAACAAAACCCAATTTTAACTCTAAAAGCAAGTTTGAAGCCATTTTATAAAAAATGGACACGCTGTCCAACACAGTTTCAAAAAATTACTACAGCATTACTATAGCATTCCTACAGCAAAAAAAAAAAAAAAATAGTAGCCACTGTTTTCAGCCAAACAAGGCCTTTAGAGGCTAAATTTCAACTTTCACCAAAAGTAACAATTTTAGATCTCAATGAGACGAAGAATTGTCGTGCAGAACAAAATTTTGAAATCTGACTCTAAGATGTAGTAAAATGCATATTTCAGAAACTGCACGGTTCAACAAAATGAAACTGACACAGTGTTGGTTTTTAACAAAAAATTATCAAAGAACCCGAGGTGTGATTTCAACAAAATACTATGGTATTAAACCTCATTTTAACAAAAGTATTCGTAAAGAAATTCTTCAAGAAAAATGCTTTCTTTTAAAGAATTTAATGGTTTATCGAGCAAATCATCCCAACGGGCCAACAAGCCCAATACGATAGGACCTTAGGATTCCGAAGATTGGATGTGGGTCCAACGCTCGCATTCATTCAAGAGACTCCGTTTGAGTTTAAATTTCAACGGCGTAAGAGTTAGAACGCCGTGAATAAGTTCAAGGCGGAATTGGGCCTTAATGGCATAACAAGTCCAATGAGGTAGATTATGGAGGATAAATTACTAGATTGGGTAATTGATTTTCAATCTAGGCAAATAGATGTTAATGGCAATTAAGGAAAATAAGATTTTGAGGATTTAATAATTTGATCCTTATTATCCTTTAGCAAATGAGAGGAATACATGCCTTAAGGAAAAGGTTAGATTTTCCTTCACAAATTGCTAAAATAGAATAGTAAACGACAGTTAATCTCACACTCTTAATGGGTGTTCATTTTCAGAAGTAAGCAAGTAAGAAACTAAGCTGTTTGGTGAAAAGTGATTTCCAGCTCTGTAAATCAGGTAAGTAGGAATCTCGCTACAGTATGAATAGATTTTAAAAAAAAAGTTACACATGTTATATTTGCATGTTTATGGTTTAAGTATTGTATGCGATGCTATGTCATGCTGCATACACATAAGCAGCGCACCTAAATTATATGTGTTTGAGTTAATTTAATGTTATGTATGCTATGCTAGATCATACTGCATACACTTAAGCAGTGCACATGAATTATATGTGTTTGAGTACATTCCATGTTATAGTATGCTATGCTATGTCATATTGCATACACCTTAATAAGTCAAGAGAAACTTATAAGAATAATATCAGTAAAGTGTCGTACCAGCCTCTGAGAGGGAGGTGACTCAGGCTCCCAAGGGATAAGAAAAAAATATATAATAATGTCCTCTGAGAGGGAGGCATTCAGTTCAGTTATAATCACGGTATCATGAGGGATCTTGCAAACCCTCAAGTCCTGATGATTGTGCGCAAGTGGTACGAGCACTCGGGCCCATCAGTAAGAAAGATAAGATAAGATAATAAGACTATGATAAGACATCATAATTAAGTATAATCAGCTCATGCATATTTATTCATGTGAACTTACAGTTATTTTTACAAGAGATAGTTCCTACTTGCGGAGCGAAAGCTCATTATAGAATGTTTATACTGTAGGTAAGCAACCGGCATATAATGTCTGATGGACTGACGGCGAGTGGACAAACGATGTGGAGATCGGGAAATCGATACCACTCGCAAATATTTTCGCAATTAGTTTTATGTTATAAATAGTTTTGCTAATTATTATTCTGAAACTATATGTTAAATGGTTTTGTGGATTATGACTATTAGGAAGCAGGATTTACCTATTAGTAAGTAGGTATATACATATAAATGTATCTACATGTTTTGAGAATCATATATATATTAAGGTTTGAATGTTTCGATCAAGAAAGCAATTCATAGTATATGTTACTATAAGACTTTTAAAAAAAAAAAATGTTTCGCAAATTCTAAGAAAATTTCAGTAAGTACAAGTTAAAATTCAGCTACAGTGATGGCCGCTGAGCAGGGTCGTCACAGACCAAGTCTCTTATGCCATATCTCAGTGTTGCTGGCTTCGGTGGAAAATGCAGCAAGTTCTTCTTTGATAGGATCAAAAGAAAAACTGTTGCCCTTCATTCTCACTTGGAGAATTTCCTGACCCATGACATCAAGAATGTGACAGAAACTATCTTCAAAGATCACTTTAAAGCCTTTTTCAATCAATTGACCTACACTCAACAAATTTTGGTCAATTTCTGGTACGTAGAGAACATCAGAAATTCTCTTTGTGCCTGCAGTGCTGGTTATGGCGAGTGTCCCTTTCCATTTGACAGAGATGTAATCACCATTGCCGATTCTGACTTTAGTAATGTTAGTTGGCTTTAAATCTCTGAAGAGTTCCTTGTCATTGGTCATGTGGTTGATACAGCCGCTGTCAATTAACCAACTTTCAGTCGAACTACTACTTGCAAAGCAAGATGCCACAAAAAGTTGATCTTCATCCTCTTGGTCTGCAACTTGAGCATCTGCTTCCTGCACCTGGTTTTTATTCTTGCATATCACTACCTCATGTCCGATCTGATTGCATTTGGAACATTTAGCGTCAGGCCTCCTCCAACATTTGAATGGAGGGTGACCTTTCTTCTTACAGTGATGGCAAGGAGGGTATTTACCTTTGAAACTTCCATTTTGCTTTTGTTGCTACTCGAAGCAGGAGAAACCGAATTTTTCTCTTGGCCTTTCTTCTTTTTCTTCTTGTTTTTATCAGCTCCATGATGTTTTGCAGGTAAGGCTCCTTCAGTGTTGACATCTTCCCTCATAAGCCTCATATACTCTTGAGCCTACAGGGAATTAAGTAATTCCGCTAAGGGAATCTTTGACAGATCCTTGGTATTTTCCAAGGTTGTAACTGTCGCTTCATACCTCTCAGGCACTGTGACAAGGATCTTCTCTACAATCCTTGAATCACTTAATTCAGACCCGAGCAGCCTCACTTTGTTTGCAATTCTGAGAAGTCTATCTAAATACTCTTTAATTGTTTCAGATTCCTTCATCTTTTGCAACTCGAATTCCCTTATCAAATTCAATCCCTGCATTCCTCTTATCCTTTCATCTCCTGCATATTCTTCCTTGAGATAATCCCATATAGACTTAGCTGTCTTAAGGGACATTATTCTCATGAAAATTATTGATGACATCGCAGCAAACAAGCATGCTTTGGCCTTTGACTTCTTTGTCTTCTTCTCCTTCTGCGCTTTGATCTGCGCCATGGTTGGATTCTTTGGAAGTGCAAGAATTTCATAGTCTTCTTCCACTGCTGCCCAAAGATCCAAAGCAACCAAGTATGTCTCCATGCGTACTGCCCAAATCTGGTAGTTTTCTCCATCAAACACAAGCGGAGCAATTGGTGAGAACCTGGTTTCAGCTTCCATGATGCATCAAACTCACACACAGATCCCTTACGAAGAGAGCTCTGATACCAATTGTTAGTTTTAAAGATGAAAAACAAAGGATTGAAGAATTGTTTGGTACTGAAGAAGGATAAGGGTATGCAGCAAAAGAAGGAATTCTTTAAACAAAAGTAAGAAAAATAGAGGAAGATATACGGGAATGTAAACTGGGAATACTCATCATTCATGATGCATCAAGCTTACATTATATAAAAAAAGAAAAATTGAACAACTAACATAGTGGCCGAGAATTAAGCCATAAATTGCAACACGTCTAGAACAAACTAACTACTTCCTAAAGACTAGGACCAACTCATTTAAACAAAACAAATAAAATGGACGCATACAGGACACGTGAACATATTGAAGGAAACATAAAGAACACGTGAACACATTTAAGGAATCATAAAATAATTATCTAACACGTGGACAAGTTGCAGTCCTAAAAGTAACTAACTAACAATTATTTATTAAATATTTCTGACGTGTAAATTTAAATATTTCTACGGGCTTTAAATATTGTCAATATCTATATTTTCCTCCCAGAAGTGTGTGTAGACAGATTTACTAGACTGTCTTCTTAAATATTTTGGCACCTGTTTTTCTTTCCTTTTTCTTTTCTTTTCCTTTTTCTTTTTCTTCCTTTTTCTTTTTCCTTCCCGTGCACTCTGACACACTCTCTCTCTTGTCATTTTTCACTCTATCTCTCTCTCACTCTCTCTCTCTCTCTTCGGTTTTTATCTCAAATTAACCGGATTTCAAACCAAAGAAGAATTTCAAGGAGTTTTCAACGTCAAGAGAAGGATTTGAGGTAAGATTTCTAAGAAACCTCTCTTGAATCTCAAATTTTTTTATTAGAAAACCTATTTTTGGTTCAAAATAGATTTTGATGGATTTTGAGTAAAATCATGTTATAAATTAGGGATCTTTGGTTCTTTGGACTTGATTTAGTAACTAGAACATGGATTTGGTTGTTTCCCCTTGAGATATTTCATATTTGAACTCAGATTTGCAGGTTTTATTCTTATTTTCTTCGATCGGCCACGTCGGCCATCCTGTACTGCTTCCACCGGTCGACCGGTTCCTTCTCTACCGGCTGACCGGTGGAGAATAACCTCTATGTCACCGGTCGACCAGTGTACACGGAGTTTGACCCTGTTTTATCTAAAAATGTTGTTTTGACCTCAATTTTTGAAGAGAACTCAAATTAATCAAAACCCTTGGAATGATGATTTGAAACATAAAATGATTTATGAAACTTGGAATTGGATTAAGGCGCACTAAAAGGAAATCGATGTGCATAATTGAGATTGAATTACTTTAGGAATGAGAATTGGATCCTAAAGTGTTGTTTTGTATCAATGCTAGCTGAAGAGTTGAATTGAAGGCTTGAAGGAAACAAAAAGCCGGAATAGTGCAACGCTAGCCACAGGTTTGGTGCTTGAGAGGTAGGATTCCTTATCCCTTTCTTCAATAGCCTATTTTCAAAAGAGTTTTCTCCTTGCAAATGTTTTAAAGAAAGGGCACGCTTGTGAAAGAAAAGTATTTTTAAGACAATTGCTTGATTTTATCTATTGGAATTATAATGAACTATTTCAGAAAGTTTAATGAATGATTTCTTAAGATAAAAGATCTTGCGAATTGGTAAACCAGCTGATGGCCTAGATAGGCTATGGAGAGTATATCTTTGGGGGCAGGACTCGAAAATCGGACTGGGCCATTAAGGTGGTGCTCAGGCTTGTCCAAGTAATTTATCAGAGGATAAATTACATGCTGATGTCTGTAATACGGAAATTTTCAGTTATATATACTTTGAGAAAAAAGATGTGAGGTTCTGGCTGTTGTGCTGGAACTGAATATCTATATTTATTTGTTTATTTATTTATTTACTTGTTCATTAATTTATTTACTTGTTTATAAAATTTATTTTAAAATACATCATATTGGGCCATTCGCTTGTGTTTTATTTGTTTTATAAATATTAAATACCTCCCAGGCCATTCGCTTGTGATGTCTGTAATACGGAAATTTTCAGGTTTTGTAATGTTTTTCGCTACTCTTCACATGAAGAGCATCCTCCATTGGCATTTCTTCCCCGAGGATCTTACTAAGATTATTGACCTTACTTTTATGAGGTCTCTTCTTACTAATCCATGATCTTAACTTACTTGCTCTATATTCTTAATTCATGCATTCCTTTACCTGGATCGTGATTTGACATAGGAAATGGCTCAAGAATCTATCATCTTAACATTTTCTTAATAGGTTCCCATTATCCAAATCGTTATTATTAGCCATAGTAGTAACTATAACTTATTTATATATACTTGTTCTAATACTTTGGGGGATCCTTCTCACCTCGATTAGACTTTTTCTATTTTTCTTCTGGGTACTCCGCCCTTCTCTTGGAGTATGAGTGGAGAAAGATCAGTCTTATTGTTCATACTTATAGGAGCTCTCTATTTTTGTTCTAATAGCTTCCCCATTGATTATGGACCATCCTCACTTCTACTCTGTTTGTCATAATCATTAAGCAGTTTCTTATCCAAACTGTGGGGCCTCAATTTAACCATTCTCCATATGTATATATATTTATACTTAAGTTGGAGCTTCACTTATTATCTGACCGATAGTTCACGTGACACATACCCCGCACCAACCCAACCCATGTACAGCCTTATATGGCAGTCTCATTGTTGTTAACATATTTTATATTGGTCGACCCGTTTCCCTTTGATGGTTTTACTTTCAGGCGATGTGGGTCGTTTATTAATGTGTATCGTCTGTTGGGCCCAGCAATATAGGATTAGTATGAGCCCAATAGCATATTTGCTCCCATCAAATGGGTAATCTTGATAAATACCCCTTGAAAGTATATGGGTCATGATTTTTATTCGGCGACCAGCGAAATACACCTGAGTATCATGGCTAGGATCTAGGGCTGGCAATTCATGAAGCAACACGATGACACGACTCGAAACCCTTACGAAGTTAGCGGGTTTGGGTTTACTATAAATGGATTTGGATTATAATCGAGTTGACACGATAAACATGATTAATAAATGAGTTCGGTTAGAGTTGACCTCCTAACACGAATTGACACGATTAACTATATGTGTCATCTGTAATCTAATGATATGTGATATAACATGAATGTTTGTATGACATATTAAATACAAATAATGTAAATTTTAATATTTGTAGGTAAATTTTATTTATTCTTTATTAAAGAAAAAAATAAATTGACCAATAAACATGGTAAATCTGTCTTGACCGTGTTAAATAAGTCATTATTATATTAGTTATTTCTTCAATATATTAATTTAAATGGGTTATACGGGTTGACACGATTAACACGATTAATAAATGAGTCGTGTTTGGGTTGATGTTTTCTGACACGATTAACAAACGAGTTGACACGAATACGACCTACTAATACGAATTGCCACCCTTACTAGGATCCAGCCTCTTGAGTTGGAATAAAGCTTCGTCGAGTGCGGCTATGCCGACAGTGATGGAAACGGTAGTGGAGAGGACGAAAGGGGAGACAGCAATAGCGACGACAACGGAGAAGGGGGTCGGCAATGGCGACTGCATCGAAGAGGCCCGAAAGGGCAAGTGGGTGGATGGAGACGCCGATGGAGCTTCTAGGGTTACAATGAGTACACAGGACATGGTCGATGTCACAATAACAATCACTTGAACGATGATCATCCAGCTTGCAGAAGTCATTGTGGCCTTGAAGTTGTTGACGTCAAAGAAGAAAAGTGTGGAGAGACAGAGATATGTTGGCAGTTATGGCGGTCTCGTCGTCGTGAGATTTTATATTGGTCGACCCATTTCCCTTTGGTGGTTTTACTTTTAGTGGATGCAGGTCGTTTATCAATGTGTATCGTCTATTGGGCCCAACAGCATAGGATTAACATGGGCCTACTAGCATATTTGCACTCATCAAATGGGTAATCTTGACAAATACTCTTTAAAAGTCCATGAGTCACGATTTTTATTTTTACTCTTAATTCATGGCCTTTTTAGTCAAATAATTATACTAACAAAAGGGTATTTATCAAGAGTAAAAGGTAAAAATTTAAACTCATACACTATAAATTCTATAATTTTCTTCCATTGAAATTCATTAAAGAAAAACTAGGTCAGTTTTCAATTAACCGACTAATTGAAAATTAGCATAATCAAAAGACCAAATCGCTGGAGATTATGCGGTTCAGTTTCACCAACCGACAGCGTCAACCACTAGCTTCCATTGATTTTTTCTGTCAATTTTGGTCCGTGCCGTCGTTTGCCATTCGATTTTCAGTTATTATATACAACCTTACCATCAATAAGAAACCTTACTCTTCTAAAAAAGAACAAATATTAATATGCTATTTTTCCTCTTTTGAATTTATTTTTGGGGTCCATTAAGTCAATGATCTGGTAAGATAGTATAAAATAACACTTGAGCAAGTTTCTTCTCACCCAAAGAGGAAAAAAAACGCAAAAATGAAGAGCTGGTCAATCTCAAACATAGCATTGTTTTCTTTTTCTTTTTCTTTTTTTATTTCATGATACATGATATTAGCGTGATGAAAGGAAAACCTTGTCTCATAATGTTATAACGACCAATTTAGTAACACAAACGAAAACTTTAAGGAAATATTTGATTCATGGATTAAAATCATGTGATTATGATTATTTTCGATTTACGTGTATTTTTTATGAGAGAAAACACTGTAACGAACCATAAACCATGATTCAAATCATGATTTGAATCCTCCAACTAAACATCTCCTAAATTAAGAATATATCATCACATAACCCATGAAGCCAATTAACATAAAATGTTATTAGATAAATCGCCACAAAATTTTACAATGGGATGCAACTTCCCAAGACACTAGCCTGCCAACCACGCGTCGTTTCTTCAGCTGCTCTAAGTTTCTAACTCAGTTTCTACCTCAAGTCTCTTTCTTTCAGCGAATGGTTAGTGGCTGCTTGAACTTCCAGAAGAAACTGATCTGATGCTGCAATTGCCAATGTCTTTAATGAATATTTGAGGTGGCTCTTCTCTGTTTCAATAATAAATCAAACCAGACAGAATATCACCCTTTTGTACTTAACGTGTGATGTTTATAGGTAAACGGAGAAACTTCTAAGATAGAAGACAAAATAATACAAGAGTCACTAACATTTCATTAGCCTCTTGGTATGTATAGCTTGATGCGACAGCAAGAAGTTGTCCCTTGTGGTTCATTGATAAAGAAGCCACGCTATTTGGGTATCTAGGCAACTGAAACAATGAAAAGTTAATGGCCACTAAAGAGACCATTCATGAACTAGAGAGAGAGAGAGAGAGAGCATTCATCATTCAATCCTCAGAATACATATCCAACATCTCAAACGCACAAGAGAGTGATGTAAAAAGAACGAGGCTTCACACCTGTAGATAATCATACATTTTTGAAATATGTTAAGAAAAAAAAACATCATCCCATTTCAGAAATATGGCAGCAATGATATTAAACCAGAATAGGTTCACAAATGTAGATAATCATAGAACACTTGGATGCTCACATCATGAAATATGACAACGGAGAATCAGCTATTTTGTGAGACCAAAATGACCTACTCATTAAGCACGTAGAAGTAAAAGGCTAATAGAGCCGACGTATGTTAATAATTTAGCATAGTTTAAACAAAACATTATTTGGATTTTAGCCCCTCACTGTCGTCTACAAATGTTGTCGACTTTAAGCCTTCTAAAGGGAATGATACTGAAACATACTATGCAATCCGAATTAATCCTTATTTCAGAACTCAGACGAATGTCTCTACTAAAAATACTTCCTGAGGAAACATAAAAAGCATTCACTTGAAGAAATAACATCTACAAGTAGTTTAATGCAACGAGCCATACCTCAAATAGCCTTTTCCTGCTCTGAGCATTCCATGCGCTCACATAACCGTTGTTATCACCAGTAAAAAAAGCACTGCCAATGCTATAAAAAAACATAAAATCAATGTAAATTTTCATAATAGTTCTGGTAAAACTCCTTATAAGATTACACGTACAGTGGGTTGAATACAATGTCATTCACCGACACGAGATGAAGTCTTTTATTAGCTGACTTTGGATGACATCGGAATGTATAACTGTAATACAACACAAAATAAAAGGATTTCATTAGAAAAGATAGAATAAAGGAATTAGGGACAATGACAGACCAAATATTTTTCAGACTTTGAACAACTTAAACAAGGCCTTTCTCTAACCAAAAAGCAAAGGCGGTCAAAGCTTAAGTCGGCAATAACCTAAAATTTGACGTAATGTCATCAGAATTGGCCGAAAAAGACATCTCCAATGCTACGCGTCCATCTACTGAGCCAGCTGCAAATCCTGCAAGTGCAAAGACACAAGTTTTACTTCAAACACCTTGCATATATTACTAAAAGTTAAATGCCGTTGTAGCATAAAAGAAAATGCAGAAACCTAGTGATGCAGAATTAGGGGGAGAAAGAAAGTAGAGAAGAGAAAAGAGGGGGGAATTTAGGGGAAAGGAGAGAGATAGAAGAGGGATTAGGGATTTAGAAAAGCAATTGAGATAGAGAGACGAATAAGGGGAAGTCAAAAGAGGGAGAAACAGCTGAGAATTCTTTCAATATTCAAATCACCATAGTCTGCATTGTCCATAAAAGTGTAGTCAATTTATAGGCCAATTGCAAAACCAAAACCAAAACCAGAAACTAATTAAATCCATAAAATCACACACAATTAAGGGGAAATCAAATAAAAATCAATCCTAATCAAACTAATTTATTTTCCCCAAAGTCCACTCTTATTCCTCATTACCTAGTTTTCTTGAAAATCTTAAACCCTCGGCATAAAATAAGCTCAAAACATGCAACTCTCTATATGCATACAGGAATTGGAAGTGGTCAATTTTAGTTAGTTAGGTAAAGTGAGTTCAAATTTATATATAATCAATGAATACTGACATTGACGGTTCTAATCAGAACACTTTCTTTGCAGCCTCAGCAATGGTTACATGTTATACAACACGCAAAGAAATTGTTATTATATACCTTTAGAATAAGGAACTGAGCTGACACATTTTATCCGAAGATCCATATCAGATTTTTTTGATTGGACTGATCTACTTAAATTACGCAAGTCGTACATATATACTGATGTTCCGACTGCTAGCATTATATCAAATCCCGAAATTGACATAGAATCCACCTCTGATCCTAGATTCACCAAGCACAAAAGATCCTTCTCCATACGTGTGTCCCAGGATAATATTTTCTTGTGCAAACCAGTAATGATTACTTGGCCTGGAAAAAAGGCAAATTTTTCATGGATGTCAACTTCTGATGTTCAGGGTTCCAACACATAAAATCAATCATGTTACATTAAATTATACGATAAAGTAAATCAATCATTCTTACTGTACTTTTTTTTCTTTCGTTAAGGTTTTGTTTCGATCTCCTTACAAATTTTACTTGGCAATATTTTTAACGAGACAGTCATTTATGTGTACTTATTTGTATTATTTCAATTTAATAAAATCACATCTTTTGAGGACATATGATATATTTTCTTTTTTTTTAATTAAATTTTAGAAAAAAAATTACAAGAGCCAGGGCCGGCCCATGAAGGGCCTGGGCCCAAGCCCGGCCCTGGCCCTTATGGACTAGCGGGCCTGGACCGGGCCTGAGATTTTCTCCTCAGGCCCGGCCCTGCACTGTGCAGGGCCGTGCCCGGCCCAGACATCTCTAATTCAAACAAGTCAATCCAGTGATGGGGGTGAGAGAAACAGGATCAAACATCTAATGTAACTTGTAAACAGAACTAAATGGCAACAGAAGTATATGGTAATTTTGCTTACAGGTAGCGTCAGAATATCCAATGCATGTAGAGAGATCAGCATGATTTCCGATCACTTCACTAGTTCCTGAATGCAAATCATACCTAAAAGTCACCACAAGGAAAGTTGAGGAAGTTCTTTAATAATCAGAACATACAGCCTCATCAAATGTTGAAGGCGCATAAAAGAAAATGCATTGTCAAAGAAAAGAAAAGGTTTTGCTGGATACAAATTCCATAACTTTTCTCCTTCACCGTTTGCTTTATCTTCTAACTTGTGAATACTAAGAATTTAGACCTTCATACTCTAATTAGCATCACATCTGACAGCCACTCTTACTAAATATGTATAAAGCACTTAAGATCCTAAAATAGAATTTTATCTATTCCTATTCTTCGCAAAAAATTAATAGCAAACCGGAATTAATAAGTCAAAGCGAACACCAATTGCTGGCCTCAACACTCTAACAATAAATGTCGTAGAAATGTAAAGATCACCAAAACAACACTTGCAAGTTGCAATGGATTTAAATGAAAGGATCCAATGGTTAGATCGTCGGAACCACCTCTTCCCTCCACGGACGATGGTAGTGGCTCCGTTTTCCGGCCAAACTGCGATGTGACGGTGGCTGCTGGTCGAGATCTACTGGACGTCGGCTTCTAAGTTGATTGGTGGGGGCGGTGACATCCACGACGGCCTGGAGAGAGAGAAACGACGGTGGCGGCGGCGGCGATTCCAACCACCACGGACGGCGGTGCTCCGGCCAGAATCGAGCTGTGAAAATAGATGGGTTTTCTTCGTCTCGCTGTACTGAGTCCATAGGGACTGAAATCATCTCAATCGGAGGTCGGATGGCGGAGATATCATGACGGGAAGAAATGGGAATTTCGGAACTTCCACCGGCGATTGCGGCTGATTCCGGCGGAGTTAGAGGTCGTGTCGCATGTCGTTGAACTCAGCTCGTCGAGATCTTTCTATTGACACCGGCGGTGTAAAAAATGGAGGTCGGAATCTTAACTTGAGTATTTGGCCATTGATGGTTTGTGTGAGAGAACGTGAGAGGAGAGAGAGAATGAGCGAGAATAAGAGAAAGAAAGTGCAAGAACCCTAAAAATTTCACTATATAAAGTATCTGATTAAGGCAAGATTACGTGCCTGATCTTATCCTCAATTATTTCCTCTAAACAGATTAAATTTATACTGATTAGAGGTAATTAGTTTAGCTCACGTAAGTTAATCTACTACTTACAGTCCAATATCAATTTCTGAATAATTCAATATTATTTTATATTCTTACTCGCGAAATATTTCAAACTGTTTCAAGTCTTGAAATTAATTTTAGACTGAACAAATTCTAAATTTTAATTTTCTGCATTCTATCCCAAGAATGACGTTTCTGACAGTGTCAACTCCCGAGCTCATATTGTATCCATCTACTATAGGTATTTATCTTGTGACTTTAACCTAACTGTCTAGCAATTATGGATTTTTTTCTTCTTTTAAAATGCCAGTGCGTTTTTTTTATACGCCGCTAACATCGTGCTGTACTTAGAGATTCTTGAAATTAAGATTCTCAAACTATACTTGTACTGAAAATTATTCCGCCTTAAAATACGGCGAGAATTTATCGATCGAATTTACTTGATCGAAACATGAACTTAACATGAAATTTGCTATAGAATTTAGGAATACATATATTAATTCCTTAAATCCTCCATTCACAATATAACATAATATTTTCTAAGAAAATCCTTGGCTTAAAAATACATGAATTGTATTATTTAAGGTCTGAAATTTTCTCAGTCATTACAATTTTAGAATGAAAAATGAAGATATATTATTATTTATCAACGCTAAAAAAAAATGTTCTAGAAAAACGATCCAAGGAATACCTAGAGAAGAAAAGGGAGAGAAAGGAAAAAAAAAAAAGAAGGAAGAGAAAAAAGAAAAAAATCTGAACTTTGGACTTCTAGACTGTAGTTGATGTCTGTAACGTTATTTACATGTTCATGTATGAACAATACTATATATCCTTTGGGTGAAGCCCTGAACGATGCCAAAGGCTTAATTTTAAAACTTATTTTTTCAGAAATGTGCAAGTTCCCATCACTTTCTTGTAATTTAATTTTAGCAAAAAATGTGGGGCTTGTTTAGAAATTTCTTTAATATTTCACCTTTGGTTTTGATTATTATATTTCTAAATGTTTAATTGCCTTCCTAATTATGTTTAACTTCTAAACGACATGTCGTTGCTAATATCTGTTGGCGCCAATAATTTTAGCGCCAGTTTGTCCATTATTTACGACGACATGTCGTCACAAATATTGATACTTAAAGCTGGCAATGACATGGCCAAAAAGAGGCAGGAAATTTGTAACATCTCGAGAAATTAAACGATATTAATTAAGGTAATTAAGATTTATTAGTGTGCCTAATCTGGTTTAATTAACTAATTATTCTTGATTAAATATTTCTGACATGTAACTTTAAATATTTCTAAGGGCTTAAGTATTGTCAATATCTATATTTTCCTCCCAGAAGTGTGTGTAAACACATTTACTGGACTGTCTTCTTAAATATTTTGGCACCTATTTTCTTTCCTTTTTCTTTTCTTTTCCTTTTTCTTTTTCCTTCCCATGCACTCTCACTCTCTCTCTCTCTTGTCATTTTTCACTCTCTCTCTCTCTCTCTATCTCTATCTCACTCTCGTTCTCTCTCTATTTCTCTCTCTCCCATTTTTGTTTCAAATTAACCAGATTTCGAACGAAAGAAGAATTTCAAGGAGTTTTCAATGTTAAGAGAAGGATTTGATGTAAGATTAACCTCTCTTGATTCTCAAATTTTTTTATTAGAAAACTTATTTTTTGATTCGAAATGGATTTTGATGGATTTTGAGTAAAATCATGTTAGAAATTAGGCATCCTTGGTTCTTTGGACTTCATTTAGTAACCCTGGATTTGGTTGTTTCCCCTTTAGATATTTCAGATTTGAACTCAGATTTGCAGGTTTTGTTCTGATTTTCTGCGGATCGGCCATGTCGGCCATCCTATACTGCTTCCACTGGTCGACCGGTTCCTTCTCCACCGGCTGACGGGTGGAGAATAACCTCTATGTCACCGGTCGACCGGTGCACACGGGGTTTGACCCTGTTTTATCCAAAAATGTTGTTTTGACCTCGATTTTAGAAGATAGCCCAAATTAGCTTCATTTGGGGCTCTAAAATAGATGGATTAGCATCTTTAATCCATGTTTCTGAATCAAAGCCCTTGGAATGATGATTTGAAACATAAAATGATTTATGAAACTTGGAATTGGATTAAGGTGCACTAAAAGGAAATCGAGGTGCATAATTGAGATTGAATTGCTTTAGGAGTGAGAATTGGATCCTAAAGTGTTGTTTTGTATCAATGCTAGCTAAGGAGTCGAATTGAAGGTTTGAAGGAATTAAAAGCTGGAATAGTGCAACGCTAGCCACATGTTTGGTGCTTGAGAGGTAGGATTCCTTATCCCTTTCTTCAATAGCCTGTATTCAAAAGAGTTTTGGCCTTGTAAATGTTTTAAAGAAAGGGCATGTCTGTGAAAGAAAAGCATTTTTAACACAATAGTTTGATTTTAGCTATTGGAATTATAATGAACTATTTCAAAAAGTTTAATGAATGATTTTTTAAGATAAGAGATCTTGCGAATCAGTAAACCAGCTGATGGCCTAGATAGGATATGGAGAGTGTATCCTTGGGGGCAGGACCTGAAACCCAGACCGGGCCACTATGGTGGTGATAAGGCTTGCTGCTTTTTGAGCTTGAACTCCAAAAGGGTGAGGTTGAACAAGTCAAAATGGTTGTTGGTGAGAGCGAAGACTTGATGCTTTTTGAGCCTCGAAATATGCTTCATGCTGCGAAGGTATTTGAATATGCTGGTAAAGGCTCAAGAACTTCCTAGTGCTCTAAGAGGAGAGCAAATGAAGATTTGGCTGAGCTTCTTGAGTAGCATCATGGCTTAGAGCGAACCAAGACCAGTATAACCTCGAGAATAACTCAAGAAGTGGATGGAGAAAATTTGGAGAAACTCTGGAAGCATTTCAGCAAAGTGGAAGTAAGCTATGCAAGCTTGATTAGTTGTTGTGAATGTGAAGGGAAAGAATAGGAGAAATCTTGAACACTTGCTCTGAGGAATCATACCGTATGCTTTGAGGGAAGTCTGCACACATAATTCCATTTAAAGGAAGACACCAACCAGCCTCATGGAGTTGTCATAATAAAAAAAACCAAACATGGGAAAAATAGAAGTGTTTGGCAGCGGTTCATGTATGAAAGGATCTAGTGGAAACTGAGGCACATATTTCCATTTGAAGCAAAGAACTATAGTTTTCTTGACGAAAAGGATGCCTCAAAATGGAATGGAAGGTTCTGGAGAACTGCACTGTAACAGATCCGACAACGCTCCGATAGAGCACTGGACACGCCATTCCTTACGGAGAAAAATGATTGGACAAAGCAGAGATGTGATTGGAATAATAGCCCGAAGTAGAAGGAGATTAACACAAGGCTTTGAGACATATGATGATTAAAACATTTCCCAGGTCTGAAACACACCTGATCGGATGGGATCACATTAAATGCTTTGAACATTTCCATTCTCAGAGGTCTGAATATGGCGTCAAACATGTCAGGTCAGACTCATGTTATTTCTGGCTAAGCAGCCATCATTCGGAGCACCTGACATAAATTGATCCGACGTAACTTCAATAGGTGATCTAGAGGTTTGCGCGTGGACTCTGTCGGAGGCAGACGCAATGTAGCTCTGAGATGGAAGTCAAGCACAAGAGAAGTCTCTGTTGAGCTAGAAGGTGATGTAGAAAGACCTTTTGGCGGTAGGGAAGGTTTTAAAAGATGAAGTTTGGGGCTGAAGGAGCAATTAGGGCTTTAAAGACACACGAAGAAGAAGACTTTAGCAAAGAGTTTTAGGCTTTCCACGCAAGGAAGGCTTTTGGGAAAAAGGGTGAGAACTCCATCACCCATTTATTCTTAACTTGATTAATTTAGGAAAGCCCCTAAGCGGGATTCAAATTAATACGAAAGTTAAGAGATAAATTGGTCCACTTGATTACCCATGGCCCACCAAACCACGGCCCACGAGGGTTCTCCGAGTGTGACGTGGGTCCACAAAACAAGCCCAACAGTGTCACATGACACATATTATTGGGTCTGGACCCTTATACGGGCCTAGTACCAAATCAGCCATCAACACCACTATGCATGTAGAAAATATTATAAAGAAACTTAAAAAAGTTTGAGAGAGACAATAATGGAGGAAACAGATAAAGAGAAGGGTGGCTTTAGAGCATATTGCAGAACATGAGATGTCTTGGACGTTGAGGGAAGTCCTCCTTTTGTAGCGACAAGCTCTAATTTTCCATTTAAGACTAGTTTCTCTTTCTTGAATGGAGTTGACTTTCCCGATTGTGTTTTTATTCTTTTTTCCTTGTAGACTTCGTATCTTATGAGATATGAACCACCTTTGGTGCAATTTAATAGCTTCCTAAAATCCCAAAATGGAAAGTGTCTCGAAAGATTCTCAAAATATTCCTTGGAGAAGTCAACTCCTCTGCTCTACCAAGTAGTCATAGTCGACTTCGGATGCTGAAGTCGTTTGGAGCTAATCTTGGATTCAGGTCGTCTTCTATCCTTTATGAGTTGTTCAATCCTTCTAAGAGATCCCCTTGATTGGTGGCCTTCAAGTATAGTCGATTCGAGTTAACAGTGTACAGTTAAGATTGAGTGACAAAATCTTACCCCAACATGCTTAAAAGTACATGGCAATGGAAATAGTAACAAAAGAAAAAAAAAAAAAAACTAAGGGTGCGTTTGGAATTGGTTCCAAAATAATTTTATTTTCTATATGAAAATGGAAATGAAAACGTTTTCATTTTCATTTTGAAATTATTTCTGAAAATGCGTTTGGTAGTTTTAATATATTAAATAAATAATCAAATTAAATTAAAAAAAATTTAAAGACTAAAATTAACAAACAAACAAAACAAAAATTAGAAAAACAAAAATAAAAAACAGATTAGATTGATTAAAAAACATTAAAAAAAAGACCACAAATCTGAAGAACACATTCTTCCCCATCTCTGACCTTCTTCTTTGTTCATTGAAACAAAGCAAATACCAATACCATTTATCTTTCTCGTCCTCCTCTTCTCGCCGTCACAACCCACCACCCCGGAAGCCGTCGCAAACTCAACAGAGGTCGCCATCATAGTAGAGTCACCACCCTAGCCTCTCGCCGATCGACCCACCACCCTACCCTTTCTTCAATCACTTCACCACCACAACCCGCCGTCGCCACCTTACCACTCTTCCACGGATTGTGGACTGGCCTCCTACGATTTAGGTTGTACAGGACTCAGCTCGACTCTTTGTCAGAAGGCCACGCATCCCCAACCCACACAAATGTCGACCCTACACCGCTGTCGTTCCCCACTAGCGAAGCCACCTCCTCTGCCTGCCTAACCCGGTGACCACTGCGCCATGCCTTTGGTGTGAAGCCCTACCTTGTGCTCAGATCTGATTTCTGCTTGGAATTAGAGAGATTAAGGGCCAACCTCCAGATCTAATTATTTTGTTACTTTTTTTTTTAATTTGATTTCTACACATCCTTAATCGTACTTAATCAATTTAAAAGAAGTGGTTTTAAATTCATGAAATTTGAGATCAAGATGTTTCCTTGCTTAGAGGCCTTTGATTGTGTTTGAAAAAGGAAAAGGGGAGAGTCTCTGGTCTGGGCTGAAGAGAGAAAAGGAAAACGGAGAAAATGAAAATAAGAATAAGTCATTTTCAGATTTTTAGAAAAGGACAAAAACGTTTTTGTTTTCAATTTTTAGAAAATTTTACACCAAACGTGTTTTGTCTACGCATTTTCATTTTTTATCCTCGAAAAACGTAAAAAACGGAAACAAAAACAGAAATAAACAGGCCCTAAAAGTACAGACGCAATATATAAAAAAAATAGTCTTAAAATAAGAAACCATTCAAACAAAGAAAAATGAAATGAAGGAAAAAAAATATCACTTGTTACGGGTTGATCTTCGGGTGTCGAGAGAAAAAGCAGCTGGATTGAAAATTTTTTTTATTTTTTATTTTGCATTTTGACAGTAACTACAGGGTTGTCTATTGGGACAACAGCTGAAGTCTAAGTGAGGCGACGAGTTGATTTCTTGATTTTTTTTTTTTTTTTTTTTTTTTTTGAGAAACTAAAAGTACTTCTCCTCCTCCTCTTTCTTAGTCGATGGAAGCTTGGTTGTTAGAGCTGCTTTCTCCTTTTCTGAGGACTCATCAGACGGGCCTCGTCTTATTTTTCATCAGCCGTGGTCTCTTCCCAACTTGTTTCCTCTCCACCGAAGTATGACTCCTACTACTTAGCTCAGGTTGTTGATTCTTGATTTGATGCAGTAGTTTTGACTTTTAAGTAGTTAAGATACGACTGTTTCAACTATGTCCACAACTGGTTTCAGCGCTGCGTTGGAAGTGTCTCTCACTGGATTCTAGTTGTTTAAGGTGATTCTTTGGATAAGCTTGTACTTAAGAGCAAGATGGGATTTAGAGAAGGAATTTTTTGGCCATGTGGTTTTCCTAAAGGTCTGTACCGTGCATGGCTAGAGTGCTGGCAAGGTGAATCATCTTGACAATAAAAAAGCCCAGCATTATTAATATTCAAAAAACTGATTGATTCTCTCCCCAGAAATATCAACAACTCTCCCCAAAGGTAGACATGGAATTAGAAGGCATTGAATATTTGAGGTAATAATGTTACTGTAAAATTCTTGGGTCAAATATGGTGAGGGATCAACATTTAGGTTTATGGTTATCTCCCAGAGCATCTTCTTATTCAGAGTCTTCAGAAAACGGCTTGATTCTTGGATTTCTGAATTTAGGGGCTGTTCGGCGGCTAATAAAACTAAAAAAAAAGACAACTCGAGTTACAATTTTATTTTAGTTTATGTTCTTTTAAGTTTGAACTCGAGTTTAAACTCGAGTTTGAGACTAAAACTCGAGTTTAAGGCCTCGTTCGTTTCGATGATTCGAGTTTAGAATTTGAGTTAAGATGTGATTGTATGTGAGAGCTTTTTACTGTAGCAAAAAAGTTAGATGTGATTGTTTGTGAGAGCTTTTTACTGTAGCAAAACTCGAATTCTAAACTCGAATCAGCGAAACGAACGAGGCCTAAATTTCTCCTTCAACTTGAGTTCAGAAACTCAAATTCAAATTAATGAACGGTATTTTTTCTATTCTTAAAAATGCTATAACTTTTTCGTTTTAATTCTAATTGAGATGATTTTTTTTCTATGCGTTGACAACGAAAAGACGAATAAAACTCCACCTATATACCCTATTAAAATTTTTCATCACCATTGAGTTTTTATTAAAATACTATCTAAATATAAATTCAAGTTTTGACTCACTCAAACACAAACTCAAAAAGATTCTTATCTCAAATTTAAGTTACAACTTCAACTCAAATTATAACTCAAATTCAACTCAAGATCTTAACTCAAGAATACTAAACTCAAAAATACAAAAGAACAACCCTCTCGAAAAGTTTCACTCGCACTTCCTTGAAAAAACTTTTATATCTGCACACTAAGCGCTTAATTTTCATTTGACACGTGTCAAAGTAATTAAACAGACATTGTCAGCTGTACGTGTGAACATGCAACAAGAAAAAGAAAACGTGTTGACAACAAAGAGTTTAGAATTCGAGTTTTGCTACAGTAAAAAGCTCTCAGAAATAATCACATTTAACTTTTTTATTACAGTAAAAAGCTCTCACATAATATCACATCTCAACTCAAATTAGCGAACCGAACGAGCCTTAAAGTTGCAAAAACAGGCTCATCCCTAACCCGATCGATGTGTACAAAAAAAGATGCGAGTGAGTGCAATTTAAGAACATCAGCCTCCAAATAGTCTATTCTGGAGGAGAATTAAAAAAAAAAGAAAAAAAATTACTAGCAACAAAGATCGAGTGGTTGAGTAGCTGTGAAGGAGTTAGTAGATTTGTTATTGCCAAATAGGTACGAGTAGATATATAATTTTATTTTATTTTTAGTTTTATTTTTTACATAGCAACATAAGATTATTCTTGAATGTTGTATAAACAATTTTTAAAAACCTATTCAACTGCGTAAAATATTGGTTTTCTAAACCAATAAAATCCGTTCCGAAACAATCATTATAGAAAATTTATCGGTCCCACCCAGCGCAAATGTTGAAATAAAATTATATTCCATGGAACTAAGAAATGAACGTATTTAATTTTTAACCTCAGAAATTCATTCGCTGCAAGCACAGAGGCTGTGGAAAATCCTCTTTCGTTCATCACAAAAAAAAAAACAAAAAACAAAAAAAAAGAAAAAGAAAACAAAATTACACTACTTGATGACATTTCTCCCTCTCATGTCAATTAACTAATGATGACTGGTCAGATAAAAGAGGTTCCTCCAAATCACTTTTACAACTGTCTTTTTCCAAAGATTCCTCAACTTGTTTCCACTCACTCTTTTGCAGCTTCGGATCAGTTTCCTCCTTTGTCTCTTTAATCTCTTCAGCCTTACCCCACAACAGAATGTATAAACCAATAATCACACCAATACCACCTACCAACCTGAAAAAAAAAAAAAAAAAAAAAAAAAAAAAAAAAAAAAAATTTTTCAAAAAAGCAAATATAACGAAATAAATTGACACAAGTATAAAAATAATGATGGCGAATCGTAATTACCCCCCAGTATAAATTTTCTCGTGAAGAAATATAGCAGCCAATATGGTCACAATAACTGCGCATAAAGGATTGAACATTGCAGAGAAGAGAGGGCCCCTTTGTGATATGCACCATGCTTGAACAAAGAATGAAATCCCGGACCCTACTATTCCCTGCTCATATATACCAAAATTCCAAACTCGTCAACACTCTCAATTTAGCATTCAATCCACACGTAATTACATGATCAGAGACGAAACTACAAATTTTTGTTGGTATGGGCCAATAACGGCAATCATTTAATTGAAATTAATAGTTACTGATAGATTTTATGCCTTAAAAATAAAACATAGTAAGTAATATTCTCAAGGCCATTGGAGGTGTCTTTCTCGATGTACATTAGTAAAATGTCATTTAGATCAAATCTGTTGGAATATATTCTCTCTCTGCGGTATCAAACTACGAATTGAAAAGAAAGAGCAACACCATCGAAAATGTCTTTCTTGATGAATACTAGCAGAAAATACTCTCTCTCTCTACAATATTAAACAACTTACTGCAAAGAAACAGCAACCAAGTTCCAAAGCAGAATGTAATTTCCAGGTTTCAAGGTCTCTCTCGAAGAACAGTGTGATTGCTGCTGATTGAATTGTCGCCATGAAACACATCCAAGCTGACATAGATAAGTGGTCAGGATAACTTGCTGAAGCTGGAACCTGTAAAAAAATAATTGTGTTTAGAATTCGTACGTGATCCATTAAAGGTTTATATTAGTTGCTAATTCAGACATATTAAGAGATAATTAGTACCTGCAAAATCAGCCAAATTGACCAGAAACAACAGCTAACAAAGAGTAATACACAACCCAACAACCATTTTTCTTCGCCGGACCCGAAAACAGAATTCTTAGGTAGTAGCTCTGCGTTTAGTAGTTTTGGGCCTTTGAGAAGTGCCATGGACATGGCACCACTGACACATAACATAGTTCCAAGTATCTTGGCAATACTTCTCAAGCTTCTAATCTTCACCTTCTCTAATCTAATTAGATCACATAGAAAAATATATGAAAATGAAATGAGCCATTGTAGACACTAGGGAAAAAGAAATGAGAAAGAAAAACATAAACGAAGGAACACAATATGCATGTCAAGCTAGCTTAGTTATTGCCAATGTAGTTTTTTTTTTCTTAGCTAAAATTTAAGCAATATAGTCACTTTTATTGGGAAAAAAAAAAGTTACTAAAGGAGGCAAGTAATGATTGGAAAAGGAAAGTTACCCAAGAAAGTATGCAATTAAAAATGTCACTGCTGGGACAAGATTTCCCATTGCGCTTGCCATTGATGCAGAGGCCAAATATAGTCCTTCAAAATAAATATTCTGGTTGATTGCAACACTGCATAAGTTTACAACAAAGAAAACCAATTTAAGAAAACTTAAAAAAGAATCCCCACCATTAACAAATCAAGAAAATGAACTCAGATGGAAAAGTTTACCCAATTAAAGAGGCCAAAAATATCAAGTAAAAACTCCTTAATCCCATTGAACACCCACCGGATTTTCTCCTATATATAGAATGAGGAGAGACATATATATAGTCAGATATATATACACACAAAGATATATATATATATATATATATGTAGAGAGAGAGAGAGAGAGAGAGAGAGAGATAAAATCAACAAAAAAAAGAGTTAAGATTTTGAGTACCTTGAGAAATAAGCAATAGGGGCAATAACCAAAGTGGCTATGGCTTGCCGGTAGACCACAAGGACCCTTGGACTCATTCCTTGTAAAAGAGCTACTCTAGTTGAGAGTGAAACAGCAGCATAAGAAAATTGCAATCCTACCATAGCAATTGCAGGCTTGTAATTCTCAAACCCACCCATTTTTTTTTTCTTTTTTTCCTGTCAAAAGAAATGAAATTCTTCTTTTGATTGTAATTGTAACTAGAACTAGTGCAATTATATACAATAATACAAACTATTAAAGTAGCCCTGATCCACGTATATATGTTGTGGAGATGTGTAAGAAAGAGATAATATCGTATGACTAGCTTACTAGTATATTCCTTCGGAAACAGCAGAATCGACACTAATCCTAAAATTAATTAGACATTCAGGCTTATTAACAATAAAACAAAAACATCCAGCCAGCGAGGTCGCTAAGTTTTCACTTTTCCTTGGTTTTAAAAATTTGCTTATTGGAATTTTTTACTGTTTTTATAAATGTTAAAGATTAAAGATTTAAAGGCAAGTTATTAAAGATTTAAACGCAAGTTACAAGTTCTTTACGTGGAAAAAGTTGTTAGTTAGCCTTATAGTAATGATATTATTGTCAATTGTGTGCAAATTAAGTCTCTTCCATCTCAGACGTTGCTATCTCTTGATGTACATTAAAAAAATAAACAAAAAATAAAAATAAAAATAAAACCTGATGTGAAACGTAGGGCTTGTTTCAAATGGCGTAAACAAAGTAGTCTCGAAGCTAATTTTAAAATTGTTTGGTGGACACTATCAAAGTGCTTTGAACTTTTATAAACTCCATTAAAATGAGTCACCTCCATAGTGTTTATGAAAAAAGAGCTTATAAAAAAGTTTTTTTTTTCATAATTTCATCCTTTATATTTGTGAATGACAAATTAAAAAGATTATCCATATTCTTGTATTGTAAAAGCTTTTGAATTTTTTACTAACAAATTCAGAAGGTTTTATAAAATATAAGAGTTCTTTTATATGAAATATTCAAATACTAATTAAAAATGCTAACTTATGCATCTCTTTTTTATTTTACTTTACTTAAAAAAATAAAAGCAAAAATTATCACAGACGGGTCCTAAGATCAATAAGAAAAGATCGAGTCCTTCTAATATATATTGGCTTTTTGCTAAAGGTACCCCGTGTTATTTGCAGGTTTCAACTTTCATCTGAGCTTTTTTTTTCTTTTCTTTTCTTGTAATTTGTCCTTTTTCTCTTGCAACCTTTTCATATGAGCTTGCCATTTCTTGGAATTTTGTATTTATTCTCCTTTACTTTATTAAATTGCAAAGGGAAATTCGTAGTAAAATGAATTTACAAATGAATTTACGTTAGCGGAGTAATCAGAAAGTTGTTTCAATGAGACCACTAGAAAATAAAATAAATGAATTTTGTTTAATAAGAACACAGCTATGTATTTGAATTACTAGTGTGGACACCGTTATAGAGTGGAGACAGAATTAAAATATTTTTCGGGCACATGGTTTACTTTTTCATTGCCAATTAACCTAATTAAATTGTTTTTGTATATTTAAATATTTATCTCTCATATCACTTACAAAAAAAATAAATAAATAACATTCATAAGCAAGTTTAGATGGAAAATAGTTGTACTTCTAACAAAATGGAAAGCATAACTATTTGATGTTATAAAATCGTGTGTTGTCAATCGAGTTTAAGAACTTGTCACTGAATAATAACCAATTTTTGGGATGTTGCTCGTAGATTGGAGACATCATGTGGTTACGGTTCAGACTAGTACACGGTGCATTTTGGCATATATGTAAGTACCAACATCTTCTAGTTGAAAAGAATAGTAACTCTCGATAGTGACAAAACAATTATTATTTGAGATCGGTTAATTACGACAAAAAGCTTCAAAACAAAGCGTCACGACAAAATAAAAAGGAAATACAAATTGCAATCAAGTCACATGTGTAGGGTAATAATGTATGTTTTCTGGGATGACCACTGCTTTTTTCTGCATGTGATCAAACCAGTTCATGCCGTGGGACAGGCTAGTTTTTAGCTGTCCTATAATTTTCTTGTAGTTAAGTTTCGTTTTCAGAGAAATTATTATAAGTGAAAACTTTAAGTTTAACCATTAATGTTTTTTCTAATTCTTTTATTCATGTTCCTACATAAAATTTTAAAGTCACTATAAAAAATAATCTATAAATTACGAAAAGATAATCTGTAAATTATTAAAAATAACTTGTATGTTACAAAAGACAACTTGTAAATTAATAGAAGCTGTAAATTATGAAAAATAATCTGTAAATTATAAAAAAAAATAACTTACAAGTTAAGTTACGAAAAATAACCTATAAATTATGAAAAATAACTTATAAATTATTAGTGATATGAAAAAAATTTATAATAGTAATAAAAATAAAATAGTGTTACTTTAATGATGGTATTTTTGATTTTCTCTTTCATAATAACACAAGTTGCTAGTTAATTCATTAGATTAATAACGTGTAGGCGTGTAGCGACAAGTTTTCAAACCTGCGGTTGTAGCTTCCATGCTGTTTGGACAAGTAGGAATATTGTCTGACCGATCAACAGTTATTATAATGTAATGAAGGTTGCATCTACCCACAAGTAGGCATTGCCTTTTAAATTAAAATATTTTCTTTGAAAACTATAGAAGTAGAACCCCATTGTAGCCAGCCAATATTCGTTTGGTTGGCATATTAGAGTCGTTTCTAACTTATCTTCTCTTATCCCATGGACGGATGCCCAGAAAAAGACACTGCTAAAAAATGTATAATAGACGATTCCTTATAGACAACGGTTTTAGTTCAATTGAAAAATCACTGCACAAAACTCGTGTTTTGAATTTTTATGCCGCATACTATTGCAGCTTTTTATTTAAAAAAAAAAAAAGGAACCTATTCTTTTAGGATTATTGTGTTAAGGGCAGGAAGATCATTGTGTTTATTATTTTAGGATTTTTAATCCTTTTTTCTTTTTCGCATAATTGTAATAAAAGACCATTATTTAACGGTAGCTGTTTTAATTAAAAGAAAAGAGAATCTTGAGCTTAGTTTACTTAATTGTGATTATCTTTTAATTCATTTTAATGATAATTTCAACCTTGCAAATTTGATTTGTGTTAAATTTAAATAGGCTGATAAGGTTTGGTTTGTGGATAAAGTTTGAGTTTGTGTTATATTTTGATTTTGTAGTGTTTGTTAGCCTTTATGCCCTTGGTAATAAATGTAACAATGACATTTTGATATTAAGAAAGAATTTATTCATTTCATCTATCAAGTATTGTCCTCTCTATGTTCATATTTATTGAATACATGTAAAGTAAATTGGAAGTCTGAAACTGTCGCTCTAAGTCTTCAGATCGTTCATATATTGTGAAGAATATGGAGAAGACATGAATTTAAAGATGATCATCTAAATTGTATGATCTACAATCAAATTAATAAAGTTTAGTGCTTTATTCATATTAAAATTGTTATGTTGTCTACTTCTTAACGGAGACAACTTGTCTTGTTTGTTGGAGTGTGACTACATGGGTAGAGACATTAATATAGTTCATTTGGTGGAATATATATTGGATTAGACCAAAGGTAAATTGTTTCAATTAATAATTCTGTTCGAATAAAATAATTCACTTTCGACAAATATAGGTTATTTATCTTAATTCTGAGATGAATAATAAATCCGTATATGTGACTTGTATCTTTTTATATACCAAAAGGAGACATCCTAATTTTGTTGAAGGTGCACATACCAGTACATTTGAGATATGACTCACATGTGCATAGTTTTCTTATACATAGAGAGGGAATCAATAGCTCTATATATAAGAGTTAATGATATCCTCTTATGGCAATATATAGGGATTGGAAAACATGAGCACTCAGCTATTAGACTGCTTTGTGTTATCTAATGGTGTACTATTTTTATATTGTTATGAATAGTGGTTATTTCGATGAAGGGTAATGAAACGTAAGATAAATATAATCGAGAAGGTAAAATTGAACTTGACCTCAAGTCGATTATGAATATCCTATGAGGATGATACACATCATAATAAAGATAGGGACGATAGCTAATTGGAGCTTTGTAAGATCGAGAATGCAGTTCTAGGCTTTAAGTGGAAGAAAACTAGAGTTTATAATCGTGAGATGTACCTATCGATGAAAAAGAACAGTCGTGATTTTAGGAGCTTGATCTATATATGTTTATCGAGTCCCTTTGGTAGCTCATATAATTTCCTAGTACGATTCGGTGTATTTCCTACATATTGATAACTTATGTCATTTCTGCAATAGGTTCAAAATTAGATGATAAGGTAGGTGATTAATTCACGAGTAATTTAATAGTTGTTTAATTCAAAATAAATTAGTTGAATTAAGGCTTTAGTTTTATTTAGGATTAATTGCAAAAGTTCCCCTAGAATTATGCCCCTTGTAATACTTTCCCCCTTATTCTTTAAAACGTAATAGTCATTCGCTCTAAATAATGAGATGCTAACAAAAAAGCCCTCCGTTAAATTTTAACGAAAAGTGACATTTAATTAGTTATTTTAGTGTATTTTAGTAACTCTATGGTTTGAAATTTATTCTAAATTTAAATTGATTTAAAAAATTTGAAGTACTTTCAATTATGAAGCATTCATCATTAATTGAATGTAAGTTAAAAATTTTATGATTCTGTTTTTGGTAGAATTAAAAGTTCATGAAGTTATTTTGAACTATTTTTTATGTTAAAATAAGCAAATGAAAAATAAAAACCATTTTTAAAAAAAAGAAAACAGAACTATGTTTTTGAGGTGAGTGATTTATTGTGTCATTGATAATGAAAAAGAATTATAATGTTTTTTTGTTATATTATATGTAAATTAGACCAAAAAATTAGGGTCCACAGGTAAAATAATAACTATGCCTTAAATGTTTAACAACAACTGTCATTTATGTGACACATGTCAAAAACTGTTAAATTTCTTAATGGAGGAAGTATTTTTGTTAACTTTTCATTATTAAGGGGAAACAGATGTTATGTTTTAAAGATTTAGAGGCAAAGTCTTATACAATGGGTATAATTTAGGGGAAATTTTTATAATTAATCTTTTTATTTAATACAAGAAAACTATTATATGACTCTTTTAATCAGGTAATTTTTATATTGAGTTATTTGAATTAAAATTAAGACTTTATGCAAGTTTTTCATATAAATAAATGAGATAAATATGGAAATTAGCACAATACCGGTCAAATGAAACATAATTGTTGACA